AAGAAAAAGAAGAAGAAGAAGAAGAAGAAGAAGAAGAAGAAGAAGAATAACAACAACAACAACAAATGAGAAAAGGAGACCATCAAATATGCAGGTGAGCAAAGGAGGCAAAACATTATCTCTAAGACAACAAGAAGCTCACTCACCGCAGAACGGAGCTTCACTGTTTGTTTTCAGATAGAAGTTCCCAAGCCGATTAGTGTCGTCTGCACCGTACCCCATAGTGGGACACTCACCATTACACTCCCAGCACTTGCCTTTCTCAAATTTTCGGTAATTCTTGCATGGAAACGCTTTCCAGGAGCATCGGTTTTGTATTGATGCGATGTAGTATGCTGGAGCCCTCAAATGGTCGCAGATCGTACCTGTGTCAAATGAAATCTACCACCTTAGCAACGCGAAGAAACCTGGGGTAAGTCTCAACTCGCAGTGGCTTGTGAGATTGCAATTGTTGATGCTGTCCTTAGAAAAGATCCCACAAACGATTGTGAGTTATTGTCTAAACTGTACGGCTGTTCATCCGTGTTGCGGAAACTCCGAGTAAATCAGAAACTTTGCATGAGCAGTATCACCGTGAACGCAAAGAGAAAATGACCATCTCACGCCTGTTTTACGTCAGCCATGCTGGCTGGCTGTTGTGCACAGCGCAACGGCTTTATAAAGAGTTATTCTTCACCTATACATGTAATAACAAGGTCAGGGTAATGCTACCATTCTCGTGCTACAAGAAGTTTAACGAAGGCAAGTGTTCTGTGGTCTATGACCTTCCAATCCGATCTTGGGAGCTACTAGTACCGCAGAAACCATTATTCTTCAACACCAAAAAACTAACGTTTTTGAACTGAAATACACGGATCAATCTAGATATCGATTTGTACCAAGTTTTTCACGCTTCTCAGGTGAGAGGAGTAGTGGCGTTATGGCTCGATTATACTCATAACGTTAGGCTCCAGAATGTATAAATAGGGCTAGCTTTTTATTCACATGCTTTGTGCTGTCCAAACTGAACTTAAAAAGACAGTTCACTTACTGAGTAAGCTGTCGCAACCGGGCTGCTCTAAGCCACCATTTGGAAAAAACTCCGAATGTCCGTTCGTTTGGTCTGCCCCTATGCCTGCCGTACTGGTATGTATCACATCAACATACTTAGCGTCACCAGGATCCAATCGGAAGCTAACGTCATTTTCACGAAAAAGTGGTCCAGCTGGATCTAAACCTGGTTAAAAGAAACAGAAAAATTCCAAAATCGAGTTCCAGCACAACTTCGATATCGCAAGCTCCTAGGTCGTAATTTCAAACTGAAATGAGTTGATTCCCGGAAAATGTGATGGAACGTGAACTATTGAAAGAAAAATAATATTAATGTTTCTTGCAAAAAAATAATTTTAACAATTAGCAGTGGCACATTCGTAGAGTGATTGTTTTCAGATCGAAGTGTTGTTCTGTTTAAATAAGTCATTTAGTCTTTTTTTTTTTTGGTACATGTGTTTGGAATTTAAAATTAACTTTTGAAATTTTAAGCGCAAAATGCAATTGCTTGCTGGACTTAATAACGCGATATTGCCAACCAGAATACTTTCTCAAAACCTACCAGTTATGCGACCAAGGGTGATTCCAAGATCCTTCAGATAGCTCCCAGCATATCCTGCGGCTTGAGCTCCAAGGCTAAATCCCACAATGTAGAATCGCTGGGCAAAATCTGGGGAACCGGAGGAGCTGGAAATCAGGAACCTTATAAGTTCTGCCACCTGAGCACCGACAAGCCGAATGTTTCCAGCCGCCTGCGCATAAGGAAACCCGGCTCCGTGAGACCAATCAACCAAAACCACATTGCAGTCTTCACGATCCAGCAAGGCATCCTTTATACTTGAGGGGTAAGAATCTATATTTGCTGGGCGAAAAACAACACGAAGGATTGATCTTTTTTTAGCGCAATCAATCAGTCAGTCAATCAATCAATCAATCAATCAATCAATCAATCAATGAGTCAGTCAGTCAGTCAGTCAGTCAGTCAACCAACCAACCAATCAACTAAGTCAACCAGTCAATGATGAGGAATAGTTTCAAGATTTTCTTGCTGAATAAAACCACTACACAGTAGACACTTACCAGTATAGCCATGGATGACAAATATCGTCCGCCGTGAGATATCGAACTTAGGAGCTGTCAGTTTACCTTCATTGATATCATTAACAACCCCAGAACCATACTTGGTGAACATGTGGAACGATGTTCTAATAACGGACGGTTTTTCTGGCAAAAATACGAGCCACGCATTTGTACCGGGTTGTGGCTTAAAGCAGCCGTACTTTCCATAGCAGACTTCAGTTGGTGTAAACAGAAAACCTAGAAAGATCCGCAAACAGTTCTAACTTGTTTATATATATCTTATAAAAGCTTTTTTTAGACTGGTAGGCAGGTAGGCAGGTAGGTAAGGAGGTAGGTAGGTAGGTAGAGTAGGTAGGTAATTGAGGTATTACAGAAATATCGTAAAGAAAATGGACTATATACTTGGTGTCGTTGGCTGAAAAAAATAGAAACTGTTGTTTCGCTAGGTTAAGCGTGACATTATCTAGCTCTTATTAACCGAGCAGGAGGATTGTATGGGCGAATCGATGGAGGTCGTAGGTCTGTACGTACGACCGAGGTCAAGATTCTCCCATACGGACCGACTAAGCTCGGTTAATAAGATGTTTATTATATGACGCAAACAAAAACAATTTAATTCGTTTATGTAACTGATTTGTACTAAGTGACATTTTTCTTGCGAACGGCGATGAGCTGAATTCAATTCTGCCAAAGTCTGTTCGTTCTCTGTACTTTTTTTTTCTCATCAGGCTTTTTGGCACTTCCATAACTAAATTAGTTCGCAACTTTTTCACTGCAAAACATTACCGGTCGAGGTGACGATCTAGATGGGAAAATCTAGATCGTTTTCAATCTCGATTTCAGCCAATCAAATTCTTCAATTTGGTAGTTCCCAGTCCTTGTGAGACAGAGCCATATAATAAAAGGGTGTACTGTTCATGTGACAGCGTGTACATGATTGGCTGAGCCAGATCATTCGACGGGAGAGGATCATGTGCAGGGAGTGACCCATGACAGGAATTGAACTGGTTTATTCTCTCTTCAGGTGGAATGGCCGGGTCTAAGGTTATTTTACTTCAGTGTTTGTAATTAGAGACCAAATGAAATTACTCTAAACTGTAACTGTCTTTTGAAACAAGTCAAACTTTTGTGTCTTGCCCTTTTATTTTTGATTAATAATGTGTTAAAGACGATGACTAGCTTACGACAAACTGAAGTTTGAACATTGAGAATCGCGATTAACGTCGATAAGCTGTGTAAAGCGACACGTAAGTGCATACCCTGTGTCCGGGCCGCAAGTGCGATAAAAAACAACACAATTATTTTCGTGGTGAACATTGTTCCTTGATTTGACTTTCTCTTGATGTTGCGAGCCCTGCAAGAAATCATTTATTCTGTAGTCTTAATTGGTAGATATATGCAGAGGGTCAACATGTAAGATTTATTCTGTTTTGCACATTTTCAATTGGAAAGATATACATAATGATAAAATAAGGTCAGCGTTGAGAAAGGAAAATATATAAAGAGCAAAAATTTTGTTAGAAATTGAAATCTTGGTCTCTGCTTGTTTTATTACAAAAAGACAAAATATGAACTTTAGGTGACCTTTCATACGCACAAATTGTCACGAGAAAATGGGAATTAGAAACAGCTGGTGAAAAACGCCTTTTTAGGATTCAAAGAAACAGCTTTGAAACGCTACCTCAGATAGTATGCATAGCCGAGTCCCTGCATGTATTATTTCTACATGTAGTTAAGAAATATTTTATCACAATCTTTTATATAGTTAAATGATCAGACGGGAGTTGGAGAAGGTGGCAACTAACATTGAAAGGTTTTGCTTTCCGCGAACTTTCGTGAAATTAATCTGGTTTCGTGTCATGAGTCATTGGTCAGGGAGATAGGTGTTTCCATGGCAAGAATCAGTTTTGACTGGCATGTTTTTCAAAGTTTGCATTGCGTCGTTTCTAATGAAGAAAATTTAAACTACCATGCTGCACTTTTACTTTTTTAGTTTTCCTTATAAATTAGACTATTTTAGAACCATTTTTTATAGGTTTTTTTAACCTTTTGTCAGAGTAATAGAAGTGCAGGACTTCGGCTGTTCGAAAATGATAGCGTTTTTTCTATATCATGTTGTTGACCTCAAAGGGAATATTTTTGGCCGTGCAATAAATCCTCCAGGTTTCACGAGATCATTTTAATGCTCTCACAGTAACAGGGCAAGGACCAGCTGGCAATTCTGTTGTACATGTTATTTCGTTTTTGTGCGTGAGGTTGTTGATTAGCAGCTAGCTACCTGAAGGCTGAATTTGTAAATGTCTTCATAGCTGGAGGAGGCAACGGAGGTTTTCAAAGCGGCTTCATATTGCCTTTGAGCGTAATTTACGAGTGTTAAAGAGTACCAAGACACTGGGTTATTTGTTTATGCGTTTCTGTGGAGGGGGAAATATCTGATACAGTTGGAATGGACAGTAGCTGTGCTTAATACGTGTGTAACGCAGCTGCTATTTGATTATGATAAAATTAAACGAGGTTTACTTTGGCAATTGATTTTCATTCTCCTTTTCAGTGGCGAAAACTCAGCTTTACCCTCAACGGCGAATTTTGAAATAAACGCTTTGAATTAGTAAGTGGACATTGCACTAACATCAACACACAGTATTTGCATTAACATTTGTCGATAATATTAAGATCTGTAAATTTTGTTACCTACCTTAAATCTTCTTCTTGACGAAGAAACTCAGAAACTCAAGAAAGCCAAGCTCTGCAGGGAATTAATGAAACAGTCAAGATGACATCAAGTATTTTTTTTTTTTTTACTTCGTCACAAGCTGAACTTACCTTGCTCCGTTTCTGGGAAACAACTGAAGGGTGGTACATGCCTAAAGGCCTTTCATCAGTTATGAAAGCAGTCCAAGTTGCGTGATTGGCCCTGTGGTACGGCATTTGACACTTATTTTTGGCAGCCTATACCCTGATCCTAACAATAACGTGTTAATTGATCTCGTTTTGACGCGTAGCCGTGATTATTCACGCCCAGCTTGATTGCACTTGATGACTTGTTGAAAATTGAGGCCACAATTAATTTGAATGTAAGCCCAGCGTGAGAAGTAAGTCGTCGATTTCTTTTGTTTGGATGCTGGGCTGGTTTTACGGCATTGACACGTGACACTACGCCAGCAGGAAACAGCATTGTCTGCTAAGTTGAATGGGGACAACACTCTTTTTTGATTCACAATCGATGTACATGTAAGCTTATTATTACAACTACGGCTGCATACGTGTATGCAAACGAACAATTGCGCCTGCGTTTTTATGTTTGTTATTCTGTAATCCTTGATATTCACCTCTGACAATTATACTAAAACAAATATTCGCCTCAGGCTCAGTGAATATTGGTGAATATTCACCAGAAGAGATTAGCTCAAGCTATTCGAAAAGTGGTCGATTTAGATCAACGGGAAGATTCCAAACAACCGTGAGAAGAGTTTAGCCTAAGCTACGCAATGTGTTCGATTTAGGTCAACGGGAAAATCCGAAACATCAGAAGATATTAGCAGTACGTTTTTTTCCTTGCAGACTGTACTGCTGTTACTAAAATTGTCGACAGGCAAATCGAGTTTGAACGCAATTCCGCAAGTGGTCGCGAACGTAATTTTTTAGTAATGTTTAAAAAGTAAGGCGAAATATCGCATTAGCCAGTAAAAACATGGGCTTTGGAATTTTCGAGAATTCTTCGAAATGTCGTTTGAATTTTCGCTCTATTTGCTTGTACTGCGAAAAAAACTAAGCCACGACAGGGCACAGCATTAACCGTAAATCAGAGCGTTGCTTTGATCTATTTTCTTCCAAATGTGCATGCTACATGTATTTCATAGAACGGAACAAAATCCTAATAATAATTTTACGTGCAAGCGTTGCGCTAAAATAAAATAAAATAATTAATTGGGTCTTGCGTAGTAGACCGAAGCTCGCATACAGCTGCGTTATCACGAGCGCTTCACAGGGATGTAAAATTTTCCTCTGGTGAAGTTCAGCCGTTAAAAAAAAGGAAACTTAATTAACAGGGTCCACTTCTATTGCACGGAAAATTAAACAGAGTATTTACAAGTTTCTCTTTCCATCCAATTGTCTTTCAAGTTTGCGGGAAAAAAAAATATAGAAAATAAGTGCACGAAAAAGTAAAGACGCGACTGGACGCTTTCTAGCACAGCTACATTGTACTTCACTCAAATTCGGTTAATGTAATCCTTTGGCCCTGTTGTTCGTAATTTGTTCCGATTTCGATATTAAAGAAAATTATTTGCTATCGGATTCCCATACAAATATTAGATGTAATTTCTGACGCTCGTGACTACCCGAGAAGATCGGTGACTTCTCAAACCATTAATAATGCGTCAATCTAAAACAAAGAAAATCAGAGCCGTGCGGGAGGTTTGGATTTGCGGTCTTAATTGGCATCCTAAGTTTTTGTTTTGGTTGAGAAGATATATCAAACACGAGAGACATTGGTTACTAAAAACACCTCGAATTTCGTCAAAAATACTGTCTCTCGTGTTTGATATATTGCTTGAAAACTGTGACACTGAAGGTCTATGGCACTTGCCAGTTGGACAATTGAATGTTAAGTTAATTAGTTTGAGGACCTTTGATAAGCTAGACCAGCTCGAATTTTCTCCTGGGTAAGTTCTTAGCGAGACAAATGTGATTTGCACAGATAGTCATGGTCTAAGTAAATGATCATTTGTTACTGAATCGATGACCTTTTTTTTTCTAATCGTTAAGACTTGTTCTTCGTACTAGGTTCTCTCAGTAAGAGTTTCTTCACACAGATATTGTCGCGGTTGTCATAAAGATTCATAAGCGTGTGGGTGTTTGATGGCGTCATGGGATGTTCACAAGACGATAAACAACTTGAAGTGCTAAAAATGCATTTTGTTCTTCACTTTTACTGATGGAGTTTGGCAAGTGTCTTTTTTCAGTAAGAGTGGTACATAAACAAATGGAATGCTACCAGTATTGCAAATATTTAGTAATATATTCTGAAGTTGTCCAAAGCTAGGTATTAATAAGTTAAACTCACATGGTCATTCATACAACTACTTTACCATTTCAGCCTATTATTACCGCAGCTTTTTTCCAATTTAATTTGTAGCCCCCTATAGTCATGTATGATATACCATTTGAAAGCTATTGATCTGTGAATTCCAAATAAAATGTCATCAACAACTATGCTACGGAATTGATAGCTTTGATAAATGATGGCTTGAAAAGAGAGAACGAAAAAGTTCAAAAAAGTAAAAGTCTTCATAAATATTAGGCATACCTCTAAACTATAGCTTTTTTTTTCAGCTCTCCATTTCTCTCTCTAATCATTGTAGAAAAAGTTCCAAATCTTCTAGGGGTTGATGTATTTACGGTCATAATTTCATTCTTTCAACGACAAGATCTTTATTGCATTGTAGATTATTTTGCTGCAAAAATCCCATCGAAATCTGCCAGACTTGATCCAAACGGTGAAGTCACAAGCACATAAGAGCACTCCCATTGCGAAAGGGTTAAGAAGTATGAAGGTTTCATTGCTGTCATAAAAGAAAAAAAAAAAAAGTTAAGATAAGGTAAAATTCGAAACAATTTCGAAATGAAGATAAGAAACAACTTTTAGCTGGTGGCTTTGAACGTTGGCTTTTAAAATGAATTTTCCGGTTTTTATTTTAGTGTATGGTGTGCATTTCAAAAAAAAAAAAAAAAAAAAACATTGTGGACACAAATTAACTTGCTTAAAAAATCCATGGCTATTATTATCATAAGCCAAAAGAAATGATA